TGCAGGCGGTGGATTCGCGGCTGCTCTGCCGGGTGACCCGGGTCCTCATCTCCACCGCGATGCCGGTCTCCGTGCTCCTCCGGATGTTGCTGCGCAGCTTTTTGGGGCCACCCTCTGGAAGCAGAGACAGGGGGTGAGCCCGGGAGCCTCCCCGGGTGCTGCTCCCCTCCCTCGGTACGTTTTCCATCACGGTTTTCCCTGGGGATGAAGCCCTGCAGGACCTCGCACGGCGCTGACACCCGCACCTCGGCCATCCCCGCCGCGTGCTGAGACCTGCCAGACTCAGCTCACATGTGCTGCCACCAGCCCACAGCCTGGCTGCTGCTGCTGCAGACCCAGCTCCAAAATCTTCAGGGCCACATCAATGTCCCGTTGTCCCCGTGTCACAGGGGAGAGGCACCCACGGGCACCCCCGATGGACTTGATCAGTGAAGCCTCCCTTTCTCCAGGCAGTTGCACCATCCCCCTGCCAGGTGTCCCAGGTGGTGGCAGATGGCAGAAGGAGGAGCATGGCCAGGGCATCCATCCCTGGCACTGCCAGCAGCCCTGGCACCACCGGGAGCCCCACGGCGTCAGGAGGGATGTGTTGGCACCACGGCTGCTCCCCGGGGGGTCAGGCTGGTCCTCCTAATTCAGGGGCTGCCCCCATGGGAGTGTTTGCCTGGTCCTGGCACCCCCAACAAGGTGAGTGATGCTCCAGCAGCCAGGAAGGTCCCAGTCCTGCTGTTCCCACGTGTGGGTCTGCCTGATGCTGGCACTTTTGGGGATAATTCCACCCCTTCAGAAACTCCTCGGATGTGCAGGGCTGGAGGGCTCCAAATTAATCCTCTCTTTATAAATCACCTCCCAAATCATGAAATGCCACCAAGAACCAGGATGAAAAAGCAGTAACTAGAGAAAAAGCCTGCACTAAAATGAGCTTTTTGCTTCCCCCACCCTTTAAAAAGCTATTTGAAGCATTTAAATACACTTCCCAGAGCCAGACAGTTTGACAAGTCCTTTCTTCAAGCTCCCTCTCTCCCTGCAGCCAGGACTGGCCAGTGCTGGGGGATGGATGCTGATCCCAGACTCTGGGCACTGGCAGAGCTCCAGCAACGCCCCAGATTTTGGAGGTGCTGGGGAGGATTCTAAGGGGATTTTGTTATTGTGAGGTGTCTTCGTCAGACGTGGGCAGCTGGAGCATCGCTCGGGGCAGCCCCCTAAGAGCTGGGGTGGGTCTTGGGGGGTGGGCTGCTGGGGCCGTGGGTGCTGGGGCCACGCTCCTCACCAGTCTGGTTGAGCTGCAGGGTGCTCTTGCTCCACTGGGACAGCCCCACGATGGCCACCATCTTGGCACCCAGGCTGGAGCGGCGCTTCTTGCCCAGGGCGGCGGCGTCGGGGCCGCCCCGCGCGCTCTGCTCCGCGCTGAACATCTCCCCGCTGATGCTGGAGCTGCGGATGACATTCCCGGCCGCCGTGGAGG